TCAAGTTTGCGAAGTTCCAAAAACTAAACTAAAAATTGCACGCAAATGAGGTTTACATCGTTCGAAAGCGTAAATCTTTAGCTTTAATTTCAGTACCCGATCAGCAATGAGCGATTTTTTTTCACCGAGTTATTCAACATTGAAGCAAAAATGGTCATTTTGAACGAAGACGTCTATTCATACTATATGGGGAACAAACTAAATAAACAAAATATATTTTTTATATACAATAGAATTTCAAACTATTGAACCTATTATAAATGATCCAACCTATATTGAGATAATCATATACGTACCTCAGCTCAATTAACAATAAGTGCGACTTATTGTTAGTCACACAAGTGATATATACGTATGTTTTACTTTTAATTTTTTTTTTAACTTTCTTTTGAATAAAAATTACAAAAAGAGATAATTTTTTTGTTTTGCCGTTATTGCGCGCATACTTGTTAAGCTCACTCCGCGCCGCATAGCAAAGTCACATTATCAACCTCTGATTTATGTAAGGAAGTTTTCATAATTTGTGTAATCTCCTCTCCCACAAATTTGATTTTTATTTAAAAATATCAAAAAATAAAGACTGAAAATAAAAATCTGTGAAGTCTGATCTCAGTAAAATACTTATACTGAGTCTTCCTCCATAACGAAGTCTTCAGTCTTATTTACAATCAATTATATTGCGCAACAAGCAACTTTGCAAATTAGTGAATTGGCCTCTTTCGTCCTTGGCATTTCGATTTGCGTAACATAGTAGGGTGTGGTCAATTTGATGTTACAATGTTTTAAAGCATTTCATTGACCAATCAAGGAAGCATTGACATCTCATTTACAGCACTGACATCTCACTTCAATTTGACACATCAGTTTTCTTATTAAATTATTAAGAATGAGGGAGCAAATCGGAAATGGAATTTATATTGCGATGATATAAGAAAAATCTGTACTGAAGAGGACTCAATTCAAGAGTCTACTATTCTTCAATAAAGGGATCATTTGCGCCACAAGAACTGCGTCGGCTCTTAAAGACATTTATTTTAACATTTTTATTGATATTATATATGTTCTTAAAATAAAATCACTAATTTTTCAGACAATTATAGTGAAAACCATGATATAATATCTTGTTATTTTTCTAGCAGAGATATTATTGCTTATTTTGAAAGTGATATACATATATAAATATATTTGCGAATATGCAAATTAATCATACTAACGAAGAAAAAGACTGTAGCTAACGAAATTGTCTTGATATGTAAGAAATTCTTAATATATGAATATACCACAGTGCAACAAAAAAACATAACAAAACTAGTCATTTTCTGTAATTTTTTTAGACACTGAATCCGAATCCGTTGTAGAATTACTCTATTACGTTATAATTTTTAAAAATTTGCAGAAATTTACAAAAAGGACTATTTTTACGTTCTTTGTCGCATTATAACTTTGACGTGCTGAAGAAGTGTTCTTGCAATCAAAATTAAATAGATGTTAGGATTTTCAAATCTTGAAAGAAATTTTTTGTGTCCGTTACGGTTAACAAGTTTAAAACATTACGTTCATTACGGAAAAGGTGTGAATAAAATCATTGATCAATTTACCAAACTTCTAATTTTCAAGATCTTGAATTCACAATGAGTTAGAAACTCGGACTTTGGACAATAATATTTCCATTTATGCTACATTAAAAACAATACTAAATTAAAAAAAACAATACAAATACTAAATTAAAGAAACTATTTTTTATGTACAATAGGACTTTAGACTCTATTAAAATCTAAAGTTTTTAGTTATAAATTCAGACCATTTGTATAATACGGTTTACTGCTTGCTGCATACAATTAGTGATAGAATTAATGACAGTTTTTTCACACGATTTAATTCCGACCTATCAATTGCAAACCCAAAACTTGCATAATAATTTCTCTTTCTATGTATATGAATAAATAATTTAAAGTTGAAAATATAATTCTTATGCAATAAGATCTCGATGTATCGATGAATTAAAAACTCAGACTATAAGCGATAATATTTCTACTTGTGTTACATGAAAAATAAATTAAAGAAATTATAAATAGATTTCTCGTGTATAATAGAGCACTCTGTGCATCGCCTGTTGCGCGCTGCATTTATTACAACATAGCAAAGTCGCATCATCGTACAATTTCTGATTCATGCGAGGAAATCTTTCTTAACTGGCAACCTCCTTTGCCACAAACTTGTTTTTGCTGTAAAAACATCTAGAAAGAAGAATACTTGATGATTAATTACAGTTAACTACTGAGTCATTAGAGAACAGATTGAAAGGAAATTTAACGTATGCCAGTGCGAAACAGTTATGGATAGTGAAAGCAGTCAGGTATGTAAAACGAATTCTATTTCTTTCTTATTTGCAATAAATACCAATACTGTGTAATAAACTTAATTTTTTGTAACAAATGAGAATATTTTTTTTAGAGACATAAAATACGTTATTTCTTTAGAAAAGAAACCTAAAAGAATAAATTTATGTTAATATATGTTACATAAATATTAAAAAGGAGTTCGAGCGTTTTAGACAAGGGAGTACGCAAGGATTGTTGGATTCATCTTTTTCTTTTACTCAATATTACTTGCTGAATAAATCCGAAAATCCTAGTTAAAATAATCTTGGTATTCAGGAAATATAATTTTGGAATTTTGACGGAAGAAAACAATAATTTTATTTATCATTTTGATTTTATCATTTTGTCGAGCCATAATAAAAAAAAATGAGAGCTGAGGTAACATCAAAACATATTTTTATAAAAGCAACGAAATTTTTATATTCTTTCTGGACAGTATTTTCATATAAAAATATGTCAAAATAAATTTTCTCTTCCTATTCTCGGTTATATTTTTCTCTGTCTTTTTTCTATCTACCTATCAATCTCTCATTTGTTTTTGTAAAAGTTTTTAAATCTATTAAATTTTATACTCTAGAAGAAGTGTTAGTCCTCTAATTAGTTACATTTGAAAAAAAAATGAGATGTGTTCATAATTATATAATCAGCAAAATTGTTCATCTATTATAACTTTCCACTCTTAAAAAAAGTAATTAGAGCTCGAGCTTCGAGAGGTCACAAAGACATTTCTTAAAAAGATTAACATATCGCTAAAGTCTCATACAGACGTATCAAATCTATGTCTATTAAATTATTTTTTTTCTTTAAACATTTACCTACTTTGAAGTACCTAAAGCCTTAAAAAGATTTTCTCTTTTGTACAAAAAAGTACAAACAATTCTTTCATTCATTTTTATTTAAAATTGAAAATAAAATATTTAATAAACAATGTTTATTAAAATAACTATAAAACCGTCAATTATAATGTAGATAGATGTTTCAAGAATTTTTTAATATTTTAAAAAATTTTTAAATAGTGAAAATATGTCACACATGAAAGATAGACAATAAAAATCTAAAAAAAGAAACTTACACAACTTGGCTGACCTTCGTCTACCATATATACAGGGTGTTCATAAAGTATCGGACCCCCCCTCTATCTCAGAAAATACTAACTGGATAAAAAAACTTTAAATACAAAACTTTTAGGAAATTTCCCTCCTATTTTCTGAGATAGAGGGGGGGGGGGG